TTATCTATGCTGATGTAAAGGGGGGCACCTTGATAAACTAGAGCTGTTTCTACCTTTTTTGCTGGAGTTTTTAAAAGCAGATCTTAAATGGCATGATATTTTATCCTAACTGCTTCATTATGACTTAAAAAGACAAAAAAAAAATTTTCTTATATAACCACAAAGCCATTTTTACATCTAACAGAATGAAATAATCATTTCTTGTTTTAATGCAAACTATTAAAATTTCCCCAACTGTCTTTAAAAGTATCTTTTTACATTTATTTTTTCAAATCGGAATCCAAACAAGGTCCACATCTTGAATTTAGTTCTTACTGCCTCTAAGATCTATTTTCATCTGGAAGAGTGCTCCATTTTCCCCTCCCTTACTCTATTTCTTGAAGAAACTGGGTCAGTAGTCTTGAAGAATGTCTCAATTGCATCCTTATGGTGTTTAATTTGCTTCTGCATCTCTGTATTCCCTGTAGTCTAGAAGTTAGATCTAAAGACTTAAATTCTATTTCAAATTTTTGACAAGAATACACTATAGGTGATGTCATAGACTTCATATTATTTCATTACCTCAAGAGCCACATAGTGTCAGATTGTCTCACTTTTAGTAATGCTTAAATTGTTCAGGTAGTGACAGCCTGATTCCTTCATTGCAAAGTTTCCCAACAATATTTCAATTAATGATCTTAGTATCTCTTGATGACTATTACCTGATTCATCTTGAAATAATTAGGGGTTGCAAGATAGTGGTTTTCTAATTTGATCATCTCTTCTACATTTATTAGCTAGAATTCTTCTATATAGAACTTTCCTACATCCATTAAGATTATTGGTTACCCTGAAATGCTATTCAAACCAGAAAGGCAGGAAAGATCTTTAATTATTTCCTTTTAATTATTCAATTTGAGAGTAATATGTTGGTTACCTAGCAACCTCCATGATGTCCACAGAATGTCTCTTTTCTTTTTCTTCTTTTGAATATCACTAAAAACCCATGGCTTTACATATTGAATGTGTTTCTGTCAGTAGCAGTTGGTTGATATTCAAATCATCCTATTTTGGGCACAAAGGGGGAACTTTGGAGGTTTTTATATTCTTTGATATGGCAAGATTAGCTTTTGATAGCTTCCTTGTTTTCTGGTACAATAAGATGTTCCAAATTCAATGGGTACATATGCTGGAATTGGCTGTTTATTCAAAAAACCCTGAGTCCTCTTAGTGTAAAATGGTGTTTTAAACAACAATATGGGATTCTCATTCCTGGATTATCGTCGCTTCTTGGTCTTTTCAGTGTACAGAGCTAGAAAATAACTTTTAAGAATTACAAATTTATACTGATATTTACAATGACAATTTAAAATCATATGATTTTTTTTAATGGATCTTTTTTATGCTGAACATTTCATCCTTAACTGCTTTAACATAGTTTCTTAGTTGTGTTATGTTAAAAAAATATATATATTAGTTTTAAAATAATAATACATTTGTTACTATTAACAAAAAGGCTACTACATGAAAGTAAATAATTTAAGATTTGTTTGCTTTTTTTTTTTTTTTTGTCCTAAGAGTGTATCCCACTAAGAACTACATAGTCAAAATATTTTGTTCTAAAGTCAATTGGAATAATTCTTTTCTTTGTGTGTTTTGTCAACAAACCGATACACCATTGTGTTCGTTTGTTTCAGTTCGTTTTCAAATTTTCTGCATTGGTTTTAATTTTTTTTTTAATTTAGTTTTGTGTTTTGCTTACTATTTCCTTCTTGAAATACTTCTCTTACTCGTCTTCTGGGACATTACATTTTCTTGTGTTTCATTCATTCATTCATTCATTTTTCTGGCTCACTTGGGGCTTCTGTTCAGTCTCCTTTCCTGGTTCCTCCTTTTCTTCCTGCTGTAAACTTTGGGGTGTGCTAAGACTTCTCCTCTATACAGATTCACTTCCAAGTGAACGCATTTTGTCCCATGGTTTTAAATACCACCTATTTTATGATTACTCTCAAATTTATATGTTCTGCCTGGACTTCTTCCATGAATTGCAGATCTAGATATCCAACTTTTTATTTGCTATCTGTAATTGAATGTCTAATAGGTGGTTTAAACTTAATATCCAAAAATGAACTCTTGATTTCCCCTATTTCAGTAAATGGCAACTCTGTCATGTTGCCAGGCAAAATATCTTGAAGTCATCCCTGATTCTTCTCTCTCACATCCTATAACCAATACATTAATATATTTTGTCAGCTTCTACCTTTGAAATATATCAAAGATCCAATCAATCTTCCATTTCTCACCATTTCCACTGCCGTCAGCTCTAACTAAGGTGCGGTAAGATCACCTGGATTATTATTGTAATCACCACATAACAGGTCTTCCTGTTTCCATCTATGCTTCTCCTTTGTAAGCTACTCTCCACTTGACAGTCAGAGTGAGCTGATAAAAATCATTCCCTTGTTCAAAACTCTCCAGGATATTTCTTCAGAATAATCCAGGTTTAGAGAAAGTGGATGGAGGTATAGATGGAATGAGACTGGACATGTATTGCTAATTGTTGAAACCAGGTCCTTGCAACATTAAGTTTATTATACTGTTCTCTTTATTTTTGCATATATTTGATAAATAAAACAAAAACCAAAACTTTTCACAGGCTTTACAATTGTCTATAGTTGCACCAATGTTAGCCACTAGCCTTTAGATGTGCTGTGAGTATAAAATACACACTAGATTCTAAGACTTGGTAAGAAAGAAAAAAATGTAAAATACTTCATTAATATTTTGTTATATTGATCACATGTTGAAGTGATAATATTTTAGATATATTGGGTCAAAGAAAATATTATTATAATTAATTTCACTTTTCTTTTTATTTTTTAAAAGATGGCTACTAGAAAATTTAAAACTACATATGTGGCTCATGTCATCTTTCCACTGGATCCATAAGGCACTGTATGATCTGGGCCCTGCTTTTTCTGTTACCTTATCTCCTACTTTTATTTTCTCCTTTGCTCACACCATTCCAACCACAGTAATCTCTTTGCTTAGAACAAGCAAAATACACTTCTTCCTTGGGACCTTTGCATTCGCTCATCTCTCTGCCTGCAGCTCTCTTTCTCAGTGTCTGTCACTCTCTTATTTCCTTCAGGATTCTGCTCAAGTCACTTATGTTATCAGAGATACTTACCTGATCTGTAGAATACCTTATCCCTTTCACTCTCTTTCTCTTTATAATACTTATCACTATTGATTTTTTTTTGTTTTTTTCATTTGTCTTCCTGAACCCTGAGCACCTAGCAATAATGTTTATCCAGCATAGGCATTTGGTAACATTTGTGGAATAAATGTCTATAAATTGCACAAATAATTATATCAAGTTCAGTATCGACTTTTGCAATACAGTTCAGCTTTCCTAAATATATAAAAAATAAAATTTATTAAGTAAATAAACTTTAATTATAACTACACAAAATTCCCTGTGTAAGAAAGTAGATGTTTATAGAATGATGGCTATTTTATTCCTTTCAAAATAGTTAAGGTAAAACAAATGACTTTATACTAATCAATTTTGTGTAATTAGTAAGATAGAGAGTTTAGAGATACTTAGGAGGAATTCAAGAAAGTAAATAAAATAGTTTCTTGTCAGAAGTGTTTTTTTATCCAATAGATAATATCTCATTTCTCGAAAGAATTTTCCAAATTCTTTTATTAGTCTGGCTCTTCTATTGTATTAATGGTAATCCAGTAAATAAGGCCATGTCAAGGAGCTTAGAATTTTTTTTTGATACATTGACATTTTTGTTGTGCTAGAAATTATAACAAAACTTGATCTTTTTATAAAATAACTTTTGAAGGTAGTCCTTGTTCTTTACTTAAAGCTAAAACTATAAAGCAGGGAAAAAAAACAAAAAAGGAAAAATGAAAAAGGACTATTTTTAACTTTTGTCAATTTTAAAATGTAAGATGACTAAATGTACTAATGAAATAATTTAAATAATTTAAAATGTAAGGTTACTAAATGTACTAATGAAATAATTTAAATAATTTAAAAGCAAGGGGATCAGATATTCTTTATTGGAATATATTTACTTTTCTCTTTTAATTTCAAACAGTCTTGGTTACAACATCTCTTCAATCATAACTAGAAAAATGATATGACACTAACAAGGTAAATGGCAATTTGGACTGTGATATTTCAATAGACAAAACTTACAAATCAGAGAGTTGAACTAATTAAAGACCTGTAATTAAGACTTTTAAAGTATATTGTTAGTGATTTTTTGGAAATACTGGTTTTTTGTTTAAACAGGTGTGTGTCTGTGGTCACTCATACACACAGTTTATCAAAAGAAAAAAAAAACACTTGAAGCCTGCTAAATTCTGGGGGAAACTATATTTGTCACTTGCCCCCCAAAATCTCAAGCCTGCCTAGAAAACTCATAATTCTTCAACCTTTATCATGCCCTGGATCCTGTGTTTGCACCAACAGGGAGTGGATTGTGAAGGGTGTGCATTTCCCCCAGAAGAGTCATTTTCTCCAATGCTCACATTGGATGGCCTGGGGATAAGAACATCTTCCAAAGAGGTTCACCAGCAGCTGGGAGGCAATGGACAATGGAGGTCCTTCCAGAGAAGAGTCAGGCGCTGCTCTGTCTGATTGGTTGTGCAAGGAACTTGCTCCACTGATGGAACTTGGTGTCATTATTATTCCAGCCCAGCAGGATTTGGTATGTGTTGCGGACTAGTTGTCTTCTGTGTATTTCCCATTCTCTCTTTTTCTCAATTAGAGTTTTTACTGTAATTATTTCATTCTATCATCATCACTGTAATATTGGATATTGGGGGAGGGAGGGGAGCAAACAATTTCCTTTTAGTTATCAACTGCCAAACCATTAAGAGTGAATGACTGACTGATACAGGAGATAGAGAGTCTAGACTAGTTGGATGCAGTAGGTGCCCAAGACGTTAGGGCTGCCTTCTTAGGGGTCTGATGAATGTAGTCAATGTAAAATGCCTGTATGGGAAGAAAGGTGTACGTGGGTACTAAGAAGGTTAAGCGGTGAGTTATGGCAGACCCTATGAATTGACCTTTCACCTTGACCACCTCTATTGTAGAGCCTGGAAAATCCATATACTGTAGTTACTTTCTCAGCCTCCATTATACAACTAGGGGTGGCTATGTGACATAGTTCTGGTGAATGACACATAAGTGAAAATCTTTTGGAAGGGGATTTGCTTCTAGGAAAACTCTTTTTTACTTGATAAAAGGAACAATTGATGTTGGTTAATCCCCTTCTTTATTGATTTGGATATGATTTCTGAAGCTCTTGCAACCATGGGAAAAATGCACCGAACAAATGTCAACAACCACGTACCCCAACACTTCTTTAAAGTAACAAAAAACTCCATGTTTAAGCCTGTTAGTTGGACTATTCTATTATTTGCAGAAGAAAGCATTCCTGACTTATACACCACTGCAAAATGCTGATAATACCTATCTCATTTTATGAGGACTAAATATGTAAAATATCTAACACTTGCCTAGGCAACTTTCATATCTATCTATTCTACTTTCTAGATCAATTTAGCTACCTTTCAGAAGGAAATTAAAGTTCCATTATACTTTTTTATTAAAACAGAAAAAAACAGATACGGTATTTTAATTAGCAAAGGTGTCAGTTTTATACAAGGTTAAGATAACATTTTCTACTTTGTTCCATAGTCTTATTTGTCATGCCTAATATTTCTGTTGATTTCTTTGCTCAGAAGAGTTTACTGCTCTAGCATCTTCTTGGCAGAGTCCACAATTCAGGTTAAGCCTATTTTAATTATTTCCCTCTAGATTTGTTAAATTGTATTTGCCTACATATACACTCCCCTGCCACTTTTCTATAAGCTCACTTTTCAGAGCCTGGTCCTTTTTATTTACCTTTGTTAGCTTAACTGCTGCTTAAAAGCAGAGGTAGGTGATCATAAAGACATAAAACTGGCAGCAGCAGCCTACAAGGTGTGATTGGAGAGAACGCTGAGCAGGGCTCCTTCCCTTAAAATAACATCATTCCTGGATTGCTCCTTTATTTGACTTTTGAAAGGTTTTTAACCTTAAAATCTCTCTGTAAAATGCAAATGTGTCTGGGTGGCTTCTAAGTTTATTGGCTAAGGTTGAGTTATGAGACAACACTTTTTTGAAGAGTACAGTTGATCCTTGAACAACACGGATTTGAAGTGCGTGGGTCCTCTTATACGTGGGTTTTTTTTTTCAGTGAATAATATAGTATTCTAAGTGTATTTTCTCTTATGATTTTCTTAATATTTTATTTACTCTTTATTATAAGAATACAGTATATAATGCATATAACAAACAAAACGTGTTCAATGGTTTATGTTATCTATAAGGCTTTCAGTTTACACAAGGCTATCTGTAGATAAGTTTTTGGGTAGTGAAAAGTTATATGTGATTTTCTGCGAGGGGGTGGGGTGGGGTGGGGGAAATAGTGAGAGTG